CGGGGTGCTTTTTTTTGGTGAGTTCCCCTTGCCTCTCACTTCGGGGTGCTTTCTTATTAGTGAGTTCTCCTGGAGAACAGGAGATCGATCAAACATTTTTTCTTAAAATTTTAAAGGTAAACAAGCTTCATCCTTATAACATGAAACTTATGCAGCAATTGAATGAGGATGATCCTGATCGTCAAGTAGAATTTTGTGAGACAACGATGCAAATAATTACTGAAAATCCAATATTTTTACAAAATATTGTTTTCTCAGACGAAGCTACATGTCAATTAAATGGCGAAGTCAATCATCATAACCTTAGATATTGGTATGACAAAATCCTCATTGAATGAGAGAAAGTCACATTCAATATCCTCAAAAATTAAACGTGTGGGCATAAATGGTAGGCGATACAATAATAAGTCCCTTTTTTATAACAAGAAATTTGAACGCTGTAACTTTTGTGAAATCAGATTGTTTCAGCTATCCAGGCGTTAAGATGTGATGATTTTGAAAATACATGGTTTCAAGGGGGATTAGGGGTCACGTTATCTTTGAATCGTTCCCACCCGTAAAATTTATCGCTCTTTTTGATTCTAGTATAAAAAATATGGGGTTCCCATATGAAAAAATAAGGTTGAGCTTGAAAGAACCTTGATAATGAGATTCAAGGTCAAATCAGAGGTCACCGTTGGGTTCCTCGTTGTAAGTTACATAGGGTATAACCTTTGTTTCATGACTGACATCATGCGGTTTTCCGAATTTTCTGGGATTTCCATACTTTTTCCTCACCCTGTATAATGTTGAAATTTAATGAAATTATAGCAACTTCACGCTCGTTACCGAACATAAGCGATTTATCTATGCTTTCGATCAAAAAGTTGAACAACGCATCCCCGCAGCAGGCTAGATAACTCAACTTTATGTCGCAGTACTCGAATGGGAAAGAGCATGTCAAGAATGAGCATATTAAGGGTAAGCATAAGAGTCATCAGAATAATCACGGTCCTAAATTTTAATGCACTGATCCTTAATGTGTCCAAAAATTTTTTGCACTCATGAAGTGCTCCGAATCTTTCCGCTCCTTTAGAAGACTCTTCTTTGACCAGAACAATGCAGGAATTTACTGCGATATCTTAGATACCTTTTACGGCCTAGATAGTGCTAGAAAATCCGTCAATAGGCACGGGTCAGTGATGCCTACCAATGTTCCAAAATTGACTGCTTAAAGTCTGCTTAAAGTAAAATTAACTTAAAGTCCATGACCTTCCAAAAAGTTTCAATACCTTGGATCAACGGTTCGACTATATCCACACTGATCTCGTCGGGCCCTTGATCCCGACACAGGGATATTTCTATATTCTAATCATGGTCGACCGTTTCTCACGCTTGTCAGAAGATGTGCTACTGTGAAACATGCGGTGGCAGATACTGTCAACAGCAATTTCTAAGGGCACTGGATTACACTATTTGGAACACTAAAAGCCATCATTACAGATCAAGGCAACCGATGTAGTTGGCTTTTTTGTCGCTAAAAAATGAATCTATGGTAAACAGTTATGACGTAATGGCTTTACAATCATTAAATAATGGCTACAAACATTAAAAGTAAATGTTTGGCCTCGTCTCCTGTCTCGATCATGTACAAGAACGACAAGTCGAGTCTTGCTCTTGTTAACTCATAACATGATTGTTGATGATATTTACTTTATATTTTGAATTACATAAGTAGCAACTGGAACCAATCTTCTCTGACATTACAAATTTACCCAGAACTGATTTTAGAATTCACCAGAGGGCGACTCGTTATGGACCACCTTCTAGCTTTCTATCAGGGATAGAAGTACAACTACCAGTGCCTGCCTCCAAACTAAGAGAGTTTTCAGAGGTATTTCCAAAGGCTTTTCCAGAGGACTTTCCAGAAACTTTTCCTGAGGATTTTCCGGGAAGATCGTTTGTGATTACCAGGACCTGCTATCAAGACGAGATAGTTTACAGTGGCCTTTCCTGAGGCTTTTCCAGTGGATTTCCTAAAGGCTTTTTCAGTGAAATGACTAAGTGATCAGTGGCAGTATACTAAATTCAGTCTTTAAGTCAGCGTCTTCTTAACTCGACAATTCAAGTTCTGTTTGTTTTTTCTTTTATTTTCACCAAAACTAAATCGGATAATAACAACGTTATATCATTATATATTGATAGTGAACAGCATCTCAAATGGCTTTTGCCATACGTGATTATATCGAATACGCATAAAATTTACCTGATTGATTTTCTGAAAAGGCAAAGAAGCATTTTAATGAGTTTTTGCAATTCGTATTTATATGACTCTCCGATGCCATCTATGAATTAATTCTACGTTTGGACTATCAAGACTGCAAACCAACTGAAAAAACTATGTTATATTATTTTAACTTTTCAAACCGATCGAAAAAAATTAACGCCAATCAAGGAGCTATGAATAGTCGATCGATCATTGTAGGAGTCAAACTTTCTCAAGTGGACTACCTAAAATTGACTTCTTGAATCTTATACATTTTTTTGTATATTTCCGAAGATTTATGTGTTAAAAATAATATCTCAAAATATTTTTAAAAAATTTTAATTTTTATAAAAATTATGAATAAATGAACTTTTATACGACTTTTTGTTAAAATGATTATATTTTTGAAATGAAAAAATAAAAATTGATGAAATTTGGTACAAATATTCCCAGATGTAAACACAGCAATTTAATATAAAAATTTTCAAAAAAACAACAAATTATTAATAAAAAATTAATTTTGCAATAAACAATTGAATCTTTTACTAACTTCTCGTCTACGTAAGAAAACAATTTTTTTTTATTTGATTTTAAATTTCATAAGCTTTTATTATCTAAAAAAAATGTTAGTGCAATTCATAAGAACAAAAGTTATGGATGTTGTGACGGTAAACGTCTTGTTTGCGCTACCGTCTCAATCACGCGGCTACCTGCGAGAGCAGCACCTACCGGTTGGGGAAAATAGAAAAAGGGAACTCGGTACTTGACGGGACGGAACGCGCGCGAATATGAAAGAACCAGTCAAGGATTAGCAATCCGAGCATCCAGCTGCATACAAGAGTAATACGAGTTTTCCCAAGAATGCGGAAGTGATCCAGCTGCCAGTTCTTACCGAAACTTATACTTTTGTCGCTACTGTTTGGAGTGTGTGTGTGGGTGTGGAGTTTCGCCATCGTAGGCGATACCGAGGGCGCGGATTCCCACCCATAATCCAAAAATGTTTAGCGATATTTACATCCTTCTCCATCCAAATATCTTTTCATTTCTACCTTTCCATCTACGACATGTTACCTTAAGAGAAGTTCAGGAAGAGATCAGGAAGAGCTAGTCCCAAGTCTCGGCTAGCTCTCCCTACAGTCTTAGAGAAATATTGTACTCACCCTTCTAACTTATAAAACAGTATTCACCCAGTATCCACACTCCCTAACCACTTATATACAGTTTTCAAATCAACTATCCTGTAGACAATCAAGCAGAAACCTACCTATGGCTTTCCATTATCCTGCCCTAAGGACTGAAGCTTGGAAGCACTCTGCTATCATAAATGGCATGAATCTTCTCATCAGTTCTCAGTCACTGATTTCAAAGCCGAGAGAATACTGGAATTCAGACGCTGGATTATTTCCCTTTTTAAAGTATTTGAATTTCAACAATTCTATATTCAAATAGAGAAATTCATCAAGTCTCTTACTTTCTCTCTCTTGCCGTCTATCCCTTTTAACGACAGTGCTTTTACCTTTAACACAGAATATCTACAAACCTCAGATCACTACCTCAAATATAATAGTCCCTCCTTTAATCCACCTCTATGACAAGTCACCTTCTCATTAAAGTATTATCCTTCATCCTCATGCATTTCCGTTATCTGCGCCCTACCTTCAATTTCGACTCCTACCAAAAATTCCATCCTGTGATCAAACTTTTAAAGTCGCTTGATCTTTGAGGATTTTTTCAATAAAGTACCTATAACGAAAATAATAATTTTGAAAAATTCATTGACTTACAGGCCATTGTAGGATACTAGTTACTAAATTAGTTTTAAGCTATGCTCGCAAGCTTTCTTTTCTTAACAATTGTGCCTACCCGTTATTTTCTTCGCTGATAATGCTAACATTAGAATATGGCACATTCATTTTGATTATATTACTTTTTATTTGTTAATTGAATTAATGTGATCCAAACTGTACTTCCACTATGTTATGCGATTATTTTTTATTCGTTATCAAATTTGCGTTACTGATCTAATTGCTTCATTAAATGCTATTAATATTATTGTATTATTTAAAATATATTTAAATAAACTATATTTCTTGCAGCCTATGGGATTATAAGCCATGACTAAATAAAGTTTACTCTACTCTACTTTTTCTCTCCTTCTCTGTCTGTCTGCCTTTGCTCAATGATTTCTTTGTTGATGATCCGAACTATAACTTTGGGAGAATATAATAGTTATTCATTGTAATCACATCTCGTACTTTTTACTCTCTTTCGTAGATGACGTCTTGTCCACCTAGTAGTAATGCTAATATTTAGACATTATCTACGAGAAGTGTGCGAGATTTTCAATCATTTCACTAAAGACTTTCTGTCTATCCTTGTATATGATATTTCGTGACTTGAGAGTCGTCGTAATACCCATTCATTGTCTATAGGAAGTGTGCGATATAATTAATTAGATATGTCGCAGACCACTGTCGTCACCTTTAATCTCCAATCCAACCAAAATAACCTATTAGCCAGTATTAAGATCAATTGATTTACTTTCTTATATATTTTTATGTATGAAAAATTTTCCTAAAGTTGCAAGTAAATTAGTGACTCACAAATAAAATACTCTTGTACTGATAAAATTATATTATAATCGCAGATTGATAAAAAACCAATATTTTGTGATCTTACAAAAAAATCTTAATTCTCTTACAGAAATTAATGTTACATTTTGAATTTAATGCATATGCATTCTCCTTTTTTCCAGGAAAATGACACAATCATACTGCTGCAAAGAATAGATGAAAATTGGTTTGAAGGAAGTATAGATGGAAGAACGGGTTATTTTCCAGTATCTTACGTCAATATTGTTGTACCATTACCATGAATATTGAATTAGTTTATTATACAGTTCTGAATTATTCCATTATTCAAAATCCATATTCGTTTTCAAATTGTTAATTACGCTTGAATATTGTAACGTAAATCGTTTGAAATTCAAGAGTTAGTTTTGTTTTCTCTTAATTCCACTATTTTATAATGAATTAGTGACTCATTATGTTTCTATATATGTGTATGTGTATGTATGTGTGTGTATGTGTTGCATAAATTACTCGTTTATTTAATGATTTATTATCATGTAATATACTTTGTACCTTCCGCTAAGACGCTAAGGTAAGTGTGAGAAGGTTATCTTTCGTAGCGAGAGAGAAAGATACGGTCAAGAAAGCAGGCTAGCCGTGTGTACACTCATCGATTATATGAGTCTGTCAGCTGGACAGTAGTAAATAGACAGCGATAACCCGACGAATCGGTGTTATTCTTGGTTTCTACGGAGGGTCGAAACACCTGTTATTAGCACAATGGTGGCGCCAGTAGGTCAAAACAAAATGTGAATCAATTTTCCGTATAGAGATTTTTTAAATAACTATATTAAAATAAATAGCTGTTGTGTGTGTGTGTTGTGAAAAATTGTTCGATTTATGTGATTTTCGATCACTTAGCCTGTCAAAAACCGTTAAAAAATTAAATTAAGGTTAGGAGGTTCAGAAAGCGTAAACGCTCTTAGCATAAAGATCCGGTTGGATAACCCAATCACATGACGTTGCCGCTGAGAATCAGTATGAGGCGAAGACAGGAACAGCTTCTTTCCCCCCGGTAAAAAAAAGTTAAAAGTCAATATAAAAATAAAAACTAGAAAAAAAACCTACATTTTTTTTATAAATGTTCTAGACGCATATTAAACTAAGATATTCAGCTTTGAAAATGTTGTTTTAGATTTTTCACAAAAAACATGAGTTAAAAATCAAAAGCACATAGAGTTGCATAAAAATTTCTCTCTGCATTTATCTTTGCACGTGTGCTTCATTTTGGCAAGTTTTTGATGCATTAAAATATTGATTAGTTCCTAAAAATGAATAAAAACAAATAAAATTATTCTTTCCTATATAGTTACAAAAATGTGTTAAAAAAAAAAAATATATATATATATATAATATATAATGTAACAGGCTGCCGTTTAGTCTATAATCACTTGAAAGTACCTTTATATTGACTAGACGACGCCTAGTTATCTATGTGCTCAAAGCACATCAACCTACCTTGCCTCGGAGTGCGCCTGCGCAGAGTCTCTTCACTATTCCGAGTTGGGTTCCCCCAACTCACCGCTTGGCGGCGCTGTCGCCCCTTACTAGTAGCGCTCGTGCGGCCGCCGCTGGAACCTAAGTTGTCGATTCCCGTCTACCGGTATTCGCGTGATTCGTGCTACGCCACCGGCGAATTCGAATCAACCGTAAACAAAAATAGACGCGACCTCCGGACAAAGGAAAGACACAATAACGACTGCTTGACTTAATAAAGATTAATACTCACTTTATATAAACTCAACACAATACCTTATCCAAACGTCGGATTTCGCGCTATGTGCGTATCCGGGGTCAAAAAGAGGGGTTTCCATTACAAAAAACATTTCGACCTTGAAATGACCTTCAAAATGAGGTTAAAGGTCAAAGGTTTTTGGTGCATTGGGTGGCCCACTCTATTCTGAACAAATTTTGTAGAGGTCATTTTTCGATATCTTAAAAATTAAAAAAACGCTTTTAGGCAGTTTTTCAAGCATTTGACCTTAAATCGACCTTCTCAAGGCCATGAAAAAAATTTAAAAATACCGTTTTGGACGTAAAATTTCCCGCTCTTTCCGAATCCCGGGTCAAAAATGGGGGTTCCTATTTAAAAAAACAAAGTTGACCTTGAAATGATCTTGAACATGACCTCCAAGGTCAAAGCCAAGGTCGTACGGATATGTCCCCCTCGAAGCCCAGCAACTTTTGTCTGAAGCAGTTTTTGATTAATCCATTATTTTGGATTCTAGAGGGCGTGTACGGGTGGTCTGGAACACCCTGTATATATATATTTTGCAACGGTAGTCGATTTAATTAATCGATCCGTTCGCGATTCTGCTTCTCGCGCGTTAGTTCAAACAATTAAGAGAGAGAGGGGGCGCACGATCTTTTAAATAGGCAGTTACGCCTCAGCTGTGTTCGTATCGATACCGCCGATTTTGTGTTGCACTTAGTTTTCGCCGATAATAAGTCTTTTGGGACTATTATGTGCGTGTGTGCAACAACCGCATTGCAGCAGCAAGCAGCAGGACAATACAGCAGCAGATTGCAGCAAATCAGACGCAGTGTAAGGTAGCGCAGCTGATTAATCGAGGGGCAGCGGCAGTTGATATTTTGCATCAACAATTCCGGCTGATCACCGTAATTGCACCGCACGGTAGGTGCACCTTCCGTCATTATATGCGATACAAAATACATTTGGTATTTTGTCTAATCGTGTTAGCGTTATTTTTTTGTATTCGCGTCGAGCGTTAGATCGCGGTAGAATTCGAATTTTCTCTCTCTCTCTTTCTCACCGAACAAAGTTAATTGTAAAATCCTATTCGCGTGCATTAGTCTTTCGGCCCTACAAAGACTTTAGTGATTTTTATTAATTAAAGTCTGTTAGATTTATTCGCAGTTTTCGTCATTTAATTTTCCTAAATTAGGAAATTATAGTAATTCCAAATACACTTAAAATTTGTCTATAGTAAATAGAATAGCTTCACGTATAAATCATCTTTTTCATTGTTCCAAAGTGAAGAAAAATGAATTTTTCTATGATTATTAAATTTCGTTTACGCGTCCTCCTTATAAAATAGAGCATTTTCTTCCAAGTAAATTTTTTTGTGTGATTCGAATTTTCCGAGATAAAGAGCAATAAATATAGACGCTGTTTTTGAATGAAATGCTCATATACGAGGGTCGTTTGAAAAGTCCGTGCAAAGTCAGAGAGATGGCGTTACTAGTGCGTATTAAGGTTATTTTTAGTTAGTGGCATATCTTGGAAGAGCATACACCAAGTTTCAGCCAGATCGGCCAATTACTTTGCGTTTTACATTCGTTTCAATCAAAGAAATCGAGTGGTTGTAAAAAAATGAACGAAAAAGAATTTCGTGTATTGATTAAACATTACTTTTTCAAAGGTAAAACGCCTCAGGAGATTAAACAGAAGCTTAATAAACATTATGGTAATTGTGCACCTTCGATTAGAATGGTTTATAAGTGGTTTCAAAATTTTCGGAGTGACCATATGAGCACAAAAGATGCTAAACGTTCTGGATGCTCCGAAAAAGGCGAAGACAATTCCTTCGGCCGGAAAGGTTATGGCGACTCTCTTTTGGGATTCGCAAGGAATAATCTTCATCGACTATCTAGAAAAGGGTAAAACCATTACGGGCGAATATTATTCATCGTTATTGGATCGTTTGAAAACTAATATGAAAAAATGGCTGACGAGGAAAAGATTTTATTCAAACGAGGAGGTGATTGTAGAAACGAATGCCTATTTTACAGACTTGGACAAATCCTATTATTTGGAAGGGATTAACAAACTAGAGCAGCGTTGGATGAAGTGTAGAAGCCTAAAAGGAGACTATGTTGAAAAATAAAAAAGATTTATTAAAAAAAATCAAGCAGTTTTTATTTTTGCACGGACTTTTCAAACGACCCTTGTACTAGTATCTGACTTAAAAAATGTATTTGCATTTTTCAATGATATTTACGTATATTCGAAAACATTCGACGAACACTGCGAAAGCATTATCGAATTAAAGAAACGCCTTCGCGAAACTAATCTGGTCCTTCATTCGAAGAAATGCAAAATTCTACGCCCGGAAATTGAGTATCTCGGACATATAATCTCGAAAGACGGACTACGCCCGTGCCACGACAAACTGCGCGCAGTAAAAGGATTCCCGGTCCCGCGCACACCAAAGAATGTTAAACAATGGCTCGGCCTGGCGGGTTACTATAGACGATTTATAGAAAATCTTGCTAAAATCGCTAAACCACGTACTATTCTATTAAAGAAACGCCAGCAGTTCATTTGGGCGGAAGAGCAGCAAAAGCTTTCGAGATACTCCGTGATAAATTATGTGAACCTCTGGTACTCAGACAACAGGATTTCGACAGGACATTTTTTCTTACCACTGACGCATCCAAAATCGGAATCGCAGGGTCCCTTTCTCTATTTGATGATGAAGAGCGAGAACACGCTGTCGCATACATCTCACGTACCCTCACACCTGCTGAAGTAATAACCCTGCTATTTGACTCGAACTATTAACAATAGTATGGAGTATTTCACAATTCAGACCATATCTGTACGGCCGAAAACTCATCATCATTACTGACCATAGACCATTGGTACATCTATACCCGATAAGCAATTCGGCACAGCAGCCACCAGTTCTCGCCATGGGAACTGCTGTTCGCTCGTAGGTCACGCCTACCAAGCGCAGAGCCCCTGTTTGACCAAGATTTATTACCGACCTACGAAGGCTACGTAGAAAACTTGGTCAAACAATTACATAATATACATGAAATAGCTAGAGAAAAATAAATAACATCTAAAGAAAAAGCCAAAATACAATACGATAAAAAAACAAATCGTAACAAATTCAAAGTCGGTCAGTCGGTCCCTACTTGGTCCTGAAAGTGGGAGAAAAAGAAAATATTAAAATAAAAATAAACGAAAAAGAAACTCAAGCAGTTCACGCCAATCGTTTAAAAAAATCATACATCGAAACAAGTAGTAATTGAAAAATTATGTTTCCGATGAAAGCAATAATTCTCAGCATCTTTTTCCAACAATACTTCAAAATAGTTACTCCTTTTATAGCCTACGATTGTTTCCAACGTTTTACTGACTTTACTACCTTCTCTCTCGTAGACATTGCTGAATAAGACATTCCTAATCCTATAATCAACTCTACTGTAACTGAAATATCCTTCCTCCAACTTAATGATTTTGCAACTGTCAAAGTTCGTTGTTGCAAAGTAGAGGTTAAATGATCAGCCAAAACATGCGGTGCACTCTCTTATGAATGGTCTTCTCATTTTTCCGAAATAGAATACATTAAGGAAGTAACACGAGAAGAATGTATTAAAATGCATTCTTATCGAATAATGACAATCGGAGATAATCTAATACAAAACTTAATGATTAATCAAACAACCGTACACCCGATAGAGTTAGCAGGATACATTGCCCCCGACGGCACGTG